ATGGAATAAAAGTCTCTAGAAGCAAAAATAACCCAAGCCAGGATAAGTGGTTAAATGGGAGGGACTGTGTGACCATTTCAGGGCCCAGCTGCAAAATCTATCCTATCACTACGAAATACAAAGCTCTGTCAAGTTCTATCACTGGAATGCTTTAAGAGACTGGTGGCTGCATTCTAAAAAGAGAAGCTTTCTTGTAGCTGGGCATGGTGGTGTCTAGCTGCCATCCCAGCACTCTGGAGGCTGAAGCAGGGGGAATCCCTTGAATCMTGGAGTTCAAAACCAACCTAGGAAACATATAGTGAGACCCCCATCTCAAAAAATAACCAAAATTTTTTTTAAAAAGAGATGGATTCCTTGTAAATGCTAAGGACTTCATAAACATTTATAAAATAGGTTGTTGGGTAAATAAATGCACAGATTAAGTAGTTGCAACTATTAATTACGACAGTGCAGCRATGGTCGTTCAATTCAAAAGGACGCAGCCCGGAGAGGAGGTTGTGTAGGTTGCTCAATGTTACTTCATGATAGTCTGACGCAGGATAAGCAGCCACCATGGGGATTTCTGCCATCTGTGCCTTTGGCTCCGGTTCCGGGGACATCGCACAATCTGGAAGGCCCACTGCAAGGAGACGGAAATACTCAGAGCCTCCTGCAAAAGCCACCACACGTCGTGGAACCGCTCAGCTGTCTCCAGGAGCCTCCCTGCTCTGCTCTCTGACCCAGTTTCTTTCTCCCTCAGAGAGTGCCACACGCCAGAAGTGTCCYGTGGACCAGGGGCCCAACGGGAGGAAGACCCGGTGCACCGCAGATACCCTGGACGTCATGTCCTAGCAGGAGCCCCTCAGCACAGCGCGGGCCGTCTGTGCAGCCCTGCTCTCCCCGTGGCCCTGGCCATCCTAGGCACAGTCATCAGGCACCAGCACACCCCCATCGTCCGAGCCAATCACAGCCAGCTCAGCTACTTCCCACTGTCCTCCTTGGCACTGTGTTTCCTCTGTCCCTTCATGTTCATTGGCTACCCAGGTCCCCTCACCTGTGCTGTGCACTAAGCTGCCTTTGGGGTCACCTTCACACTCTGTGTGTCCACTGTACTGGCCAAGACCATAGTGGTGGTGGCAGCCTTCCACGCCACAAGGCCAGACACGGAGATCAGGGTGTGGGCAGGGCCGATGCTCCCTGGCACCTCCCCAATGTCTGTTTCCTGCTCCAGACGGCCTTGTGCATACTCTGGGTGACCAGATGGCCCCCACAGCCCATAAACTCCGCAGAGCCTGGATCCACAGTGACTTTGAAGTGTAATGGGGGTTCCTTGGAACTGTTCTATGCCATGCTGGGCTACTTGGGCTTGCGAGGTCTGCTCAGCTTGCTGGTAGCCTTCCCTGCCCACAGGCTGCCTGACACCTTCAATGAAGCGAAGCACATCACTGTCAGCACGCTGGTCTGCTCCGTGTCTGGGTGTCCTTCATCTCTGCCCACAAAGCAAAGACACCGTGGCCGCGGAGGTCTCTGCCGTCTTGGCATCAGGAGCAGATCTCCTGTTCTGTCTCTTCGTTCCCAAGTGCTACATCATCCTTCTCCACCCTGCCAAGAACACCAAAGGACAAATGCTTGGCAGGCCTCATCCCAAGTGAGGAAAGCAGAAAGGGATCACAGGAAGTCCTGCTTTCTGGGGAATGCCCTCTTCACTCCCTACCAGGGGGAACACTCCTTCCTCTGAGCCCCATCACACTGGTCCAGAACCCCTGCTTGTCCCCAGCTGCCTCTGTTTTGTATTTCATCCCATCAGGGGAGATAAGATATTTTGCAAAAAAATACTGACCTTGATGGAAGCAGGTGGTGTCTTTCATCCTTCGGCCCCTAAGCACAGAGTCAAGGCCAGGAACACAGAAGAGACTGATTACGTCTGATGGATCCACTTATGCAAAGTTAGCACTGGAGGAGACCCGGGAGAGGAGGCATGGAGACAGAGGGGTTGAGTGGAGTCCAATAAATGTGGTTCAAATTCTCTGGCTCCTCCCTTTGTAGCTGTATGAACTTGAGCAGGTGGCTTAACCTCCCTGAGGCTCCGTCTCCTCCTGCAGAGGATGAGGCTGAGCTCTCCCCTCCAGGTTGTGGGGATGATGAWATGAGAAAATAGTGAAAGTGCTCGGCACACGTGAAACACATGAAAAGCAGAGAGTTAAAGACACCTTGTCTGCTCTGACCTCTTACAGACAAGGGAATAAGGGCTCAGAGAGGACCAATTTACTCAGAGCATCACCACTATACACAGGTTAAGAGGCAGATGCACAGGACTCAAGCCTTAGCTCTGCCACTTAGCTGTGTGACTTTGGACAAGTTACTTAGCTTCTCTATACCTCAGGAGGAGAGCAATAGCACTGACCTCATGGAATTATCAGTGAGGAGTAAAGAATTAATGTTTATAAAACATTTTAAAGAGTACAAGGCACATGGTAAGCACAAACAATTATCTGTTAAATAGTTCAATAAAATGAYGAATAGTGGCAAAATCTGGATATCTTGTTTTATTGCCAAATGACTTTTTTTGAGACCCTTGCTCTAAGCTAGGTCATAGGGAGGGGGGGGGCTCTGTGGAGAGTCTAAAACATATTCTTATAGGCAAAAAGCTTGGGGCCTAACATTTCCAACTTAACCTGTTTGAACTACCCTAGAAATTTTCTTCTAAGTAAACAACCTGTCCCTGCTATGGTTAGCCACTTGCCTTTTCATAAGTGAGGACAGGTGACTGTCACAGACCCCCTGGGCAGCACCTCACACTGAGCCCATGCTTCACTCTAGGAACAGAAACCCTCAGAAAAGCAATTGTGTTTTCAGAAATTTTCTATTTTCTGAAATGTGCATTTTCCCRGACATAATTTCCTAGTTTATCTTCACTGCACGTGGATCTACCATTAGTAGCCGCTTTGAAAAACATTGTCTGTTGATACCTCCACTTTTCGTATGCCCCAGATTCTGATGGTAGCTGTTTTTTTTTAAGAGAGCGATAGTTTTAATTTTGTCATCTAAATAATCACACTCACAAGAGTGGGGTTTTCCCCCAGTTTTGTTTCTTGTATAAGGTTTTATTAAAACAAGATTCACTTTATACGTGCAAGAGCCTTCCTGATGCAATTTGTCTCAAAAATATAGACTTATTCCTCAAGAATCCCAAAATGGTAGACTTCATTAATACTTCCCATGGAGTTATTCTTAGAGCAGTTCTCAAAATTCAGAAAACAGTACTTGTGTTTAAAGTTGAATTCTTCTTGCTAGAATAAATGAGTACTACGTCACCCAGTGCATTTTCTTTTTCTCAGTCAAAACCCAATAGGTATTGTGTTAATGTCTCCTCAAGTCAGGTGCCTGGAAGTGTAGAGTCCTTCTATTTCATTCAGGTGAATCCTTCCATTTGATCCTGAGAAGTTCTCACTTTAGCACTATTTTTGCATCCCATAGTCATTGAAAAGAATCTAAAGCACATTAGTGATATAATACTCAGTAAAAGAGCCAGGCACAGTGGCACACACCTGTAGTTGTAGTGACTCTGGAGGCTGAGACAGGAGGATTGCAAGTTCAAAGCCAACCTCGGCAACTCAGTGAGGCCCTGTCTCAAAGTAAAAAATAACAGGGGTTGGGGATGTACTTCAGTGGTAGAGTGCCCCATGTTAAATTCAGAGTACCAAAAAAAAAAAAAAAAAAAAAGTAAATGCAAGGTTTTCAAACTGCTTGACTTGTGCACTCCCTACCAACAGAGGGAAAGACAACAGCTCAAATGCTATTAAGCAAATCTGTGGTGTTGAAAGACACTGCCATGTCATCTGGCCAGTTGAGGAACATCGTCAAAGAAAATCTGTCCTTCCCCCCAATCGGTCCCAAGTTCAATATTTTTTCTTCCATTTACTGTAGTTTCTGGAATCCACATTCAAATGGTGATTATACATGCCTTTAGGAACGCAATTGGTACTTCTAGGGAACTACTTGAATTGTAATTGTCTTTTAAAGCATAACTTAGAACTGGCATTGCCATAGARATCTCTTTAAATCAATTTGCAAACACCATCTGATTTGGGAGAAGATCAGTCTATATTTCAAATCACAGAATGCAGATTTTACAAATGAACATAAATCACATGGAAAATCAGCTCTGATTCTGGGAATTTCATCTGTGGTGGAAAGTGCTGGTTGTCTATCAAATTGTGTTTTCTTCCATTTTTTACAATAAGTAAACTGGGCATCTGGTTRCCCACCTAGAGACTAATTTTACTTCCTTTGTGATTAGATGTAACTTATGACTCGCTTCTCACTGAAAAAGGTGAGTGGAAGTGTTCATTACCACATCTGCTCAAGATACTTTAAGGCACAGAGTGTGTCTCCCCCAGGTTTTACTCTGGCCTCTCTTGCCCAGTGTTGACTGTGCAAATAGCAAGAAGTTTCTAGATCAGGGGCTGCAAGTCGTCTCTGTCACAACTACTCAGATTAGCTATTGTAGCAGAAAAATGGCCTTAGTTGTCATTATAGCAAGACACATGGATGTGATTATGTTCTAATAAAACTTAATTTATGGACACTGAAATTTGAATTTTATGAACTTTTGTGTCAGGGAACATTATTCTTTTAATTTTTATTCAGGCACTTAGGAAGGTAAAAACCATCCTTATCTCACAGGCCATTAAAAAGCATGTGCTGAGCCAGATTTGGCCTGCTGGCTTTACTTTGCCAACATCTTAAGGAAGGTTGACCCTATGAGATAGAAAGAACTTGAACCTTGGAATACCTGCTGCTCAGAGCTACCCATCAACCTGGAACCCTCACCTTGGACTTCTGCCAGGAAGACAAAATATCCYGCATTCTTAACGCTACGTTGTAGTTAAGTCTCTCTTGTTATAGCAGCACAGCATGTTCCTTTAACTATTGCATAGTCTATAACTCCTGGGTACCCAGCCACACCTCCCTTCCATAGTCCTTACCATGCTCCTTTTGGATACCCCAGAAAAGGAGGCTGGGTATCTTCCATCCGCCTCCTCACTGTCTCTTCCAGGACTTGAGGGAAAAGGCTCGGCCCAGGGCTCCCTTCACCTCCTTGTTCCGAAGACTGTAGATGAGGGGGTTGAGCATTGGTGTGAYGATGGAGTAGAAGACGGACACCACCTTGTTGAAGTTGATGGAGGAGGCCACTTTGGTCCGGACATACATAAAGAAAAGAGTGCCATAGAAGAGGCCCACCACTGTGAGGTGAGCCGCACAGGTGGAGAAGGCCTTCCGGCGCTCAGCAGCCGAGCGGATGTGCAGCAGCGTCCAGACGATGTGGCCGTAGGACACGGCGATGACGGTAGAGGAGGCCAGGAGCACAGCCAGAGATACCAGGAAATCCACCGTCTCCTTCAGGGTGACATCCGAGCAGGACAAGGCCAGCAGGGGTGAGGCATCGCAGAAGAAGTGGTCCACAACATTGGGGCCACAAAATGCCAGCTGAGACATGAGGTAGATGGGCAAAATGGGTGTAAGGAAGCCTGCCAGCCAACAAGCAGCKGCCAGACGGATGCAGGTGCCCCAGGACACCAAGGACCCATAGCGGAGAGGCATACAGATGGCCACATAGCGGTCATAGGCCATGGCGGCCAGCAGGAAACACTCAGTTGCCCCAAGGAAGGTGAAGATGAAAAGCTGGGACAGGCAGCCAGCATAGGAGATATACTTGCCCCCCTCGACCCCAATAAAACCAGCCAGCATCTTGGGCACCGTGACTGAAGTGTACAAGATTTCAAGGCAGGACAAGTGTGTCAGGAAGAAATACATGGGTCTCCGGAGCYGGTGGTCAAGGCCCACCACTAATATGATGGCCAAGTTCTCTGCCAAGGTGAACAGGTACATGGTGAGGAAAAGCACAAAGAAAAGGAGGCGTGCCTCTTGCACCCCAGCAAAGCCCACCATGACAAACTCTGTTACTTGGGTCCAATTTTGGGTATATGGCTGCATAGGTGGGAGGGAGAACTTGGTAGACTCATAGCCTTCTCGATGATGAAAACTCCAAGAGAGCCTAAGAGGATGTCGACTATAATACCTTCCAGGGCAGAAAAGGAAGGTGAAGTCAGACACTGCCCCCACCCACAAAGAATGCAAAGTCCGAGGGGCACGGGAAAATGGACAATTTCAGTATGAAAATGAAACGGGTTGAATAGGATTGAGACAGGATATTATGGAAGGAAATAGCAGGGAAGCTCAACAAGTCTTGAGGGGGTCTTCCTGGAGGAGGCAGTAAACTTGAACCTGAAAAAGAGGTGTGAGTTCACGAGATAAACAGTAGAGAAGTAGAGAGAATGTTGCAAGTATAAAATCGCAAGCACCATAGAGGACATTGTGGATTTGTCAAGGGAAAGGAAAAGCTTGCTTCAATCCAGGGGCCACAGAGGGCCAGAAGAGTTCTAGGAAGGACAGCCATCCTTGCTTTTTGCCCTTCAGAAGGAGCGAGTTTGGCGGATAAGAAAAGAAGCAGAGAGGCCAGATTGGGAAGTTGTTGTGAGTATAACATGGAGTGATATTGGCCTTAACTATGGAACTGTCAGGAGATCTGGAGAGTGAATGTAGCTATTAAAACATAGAATCCACAAGATTGAGCTCAAATACAAGCTGGATCATCCCATTGTAGAAACATAATAAAAATGAGGTACAAAGAGATTAAACTCCTATCTTAAGAGTAAAGGGAAAATGTAGTATCTCCATTCCTACAGAAGTTTTCAAATGTAACMCAAAGCCAGGGATGGTGGTACATGCCTGTAATCTCAGTGACTTAGGAGGCTGAGGTAGGAGGATCATAAGATCAAAACCAGCCTCGGCAATTTAGCAAGGCCATAAGCAACTATGTCAATATAAAAAGGGCTAGGAATGTGGCTCAGTGGTTAAGTGCCCCTGGGTTCAATCCCTGGTACCAAAAAAAAAAAAAAAAAAAAAAGCAACCCAAAATTCTTTGACACTCTTCCCACTAAAATATGGGATCAATAGCTATTCCCTTGAATCTGGGCAAAATAACATGGAAGTGATGCTGTGCCTGTTTTCAGGATCAGAAGAAACTGTCAGTTTTCACTTCCTGCTTTTTGGAATCCAACCACCATATTGTAAGGAAGCCCAAGCAGCTTGCAGAAAGCCCAGATAGAGAAGAACTAGAGCCCCTACCCTGGCCAAGCTGCCACTGACAGCCARCAGTAACATGCTAATGTAGGTGAATAAGAAGTCTAACAAATATATCCTTTAATCCCCGGTTAGGACTGCCAGACTGACACCAGCCTTCCCTGATGAACCCTCCCCAATTGTTAATTTGTGAGCTAAATAATTGGTGGTTGCCACTTTAAGCCTGAATGAGAGTTTGAATCCAGGTTTGCCAAGTTCTTTAAAGCCCTTTCCCCTCCTGCTTATAATTAAGCAAGTTCCTTCTGGCTTCAACATCCCGTGATTTCCAGATGAGGAAAGCAGGCAGAGATACAAAAACAAGAAATGAACAGGTCAGTGACTTCAGATTCCTGTGCATATCCTCACCATTTCTAAGTCCAAGCTGCAACATCCTTACATGCCCTCCCTAGAGGAGATGTTCACTGTACACAGATGCTGTAGAAGCCTGACTTGACAGCTGTTAAAAACAGATTTTGGAGTAAAGTTCTCTGAAATGTTCTCTCTTCTCTGTATTCAGGAGGAACATGAGATGTAGAGTCACACAGATCTGGAATCAGCCTTGGATCTGCAATACACTAGCTTGGCTGTCTCATATATGAATTGTTACTATTATTCTAAATCTTCCCTGTCCTTCCAGCTGTGACACAAGTTTGTTAGTCCTATCTTCATTTGAGTGCCTTTTACTTCCCTCATTCCCCCCAATTTGTATGCACATCAGGCCAACAAGTACAAAAACACACCTGCTCTGTACCAGGAACCTTGGCAGATACTGAAGAGCATCCTGGTACAGAGCAGGTGCCCGCCAACAGCCAACCYGAGGTCAAGCACAGAGCCTTGTAATTCTCTGATCCATGGCTTAGAGTATGCCAAAACCTGTGGGGTTCATATMGGGTCCAGATTAGATCCACTGAAAGAAACTGCTTTATTACTCAAATGAGAAGGAGGAGAGAGAAGTAGGATGTTTCAGACAGAGAAAGTGCAAAGATTCATGCTCTCCCAGTATGGCRTAGTTGGAAAGGGACTACATTTTCACCTTCTTGTATCCACTCAGGGATGCATGTCATCTGTGGCTGGGATTTTTTTTGAGAAGCGTGTGTGGCTTCCCTGTTCTTTCCCCATTGTGAAGCCAAAAGATGGAAAGAGCCCGAATTCCCTGCAGAATACAACTCATGTCTTCCTGAAACAGAGAACATCAAGCTTTTTCTGTACAAGGCCAGACTGTAAATAATTTAAGTTTTGGAAGCCACAGATAGTCTCTGCCACATATGGGGGGGGGGGTTGCAAAGCTTTAAAAATGTAAAGATCATTTTCAGCTCATGAGCCTTATAAAACTGGGCTACAAGCTGGGTATGGACCGTGGGCTATAATGTGCTCATCCCCATCCCACACCGGACTGTTAGATGAACAAAAAAAAAGAATATCATCAGACTGTGGTAAGCTTCAGTTACCCTACTTGATGGACACACCACCTCTGCCACCACCACGCAGCCAAGCTGTTACCAAATCATCTATTTTCTCTTGTTCTGCAGAGAGATGGGGTGGGGGATAATTGACACCCAAGAAGGTATAGGTTGGACACAGGTGGGCAATTGCAGCCTGATTTTTTAAAAAAAAAAATGTTTCTTTATTGTTTCTCCTATCCTATTATCTACTTAACAAAGTGCAAAGCGACCTTTTCTTGAATTCCAAATTGAAGGCCAAAATCTAAACAAAACAAAAAAAAAAAAAAATCCTAAGAATGAGCTTGAATTCTACCAGCTCTTCCTCTACTGTCTGATACCTCGTTGCATCCTCTGAAAGACTCAAGGGATGAACTCTAGCTGTCAAATGGATTGGATGAATATATTGAGAAAACCATTCATAAAGTTTAAATGAATAAAATAACTGAATGAATGTCCCATCACTGCACTTACTAGCATTCAGGTATGTACCACTTAACAACAGGAATATGTTCTGCAGACAGCATCATTAAGCAGTTTTGTCATTGCRTGAACATTGTAGAGGTACTTACCCAAACTACAACAGCTATGCCATCACTAAGTGTGGCCTGTTCCTGCAATGCATGACTGTATGTTAATTCACTTCCATTCATTAAATAAGAGAATCTCGGGATTATCTAACTCATGGCAAATTTTGAAACCCACAGCATTCAAACCCATTAACTCACTGATGTGGTGTATGCACACTTGCATGCTGACCATTTCCCYACTCAGCATTCGTCAGGGAGACCCTCCGTGCCAGGCGTAGGACAGGGCATCAGGCCTGTAACAGTTAATAGGGGCCAAGCCCTGCCTTTTAACAACCCAAGATGTGATGAATCTGTTATGCATCCAAGAAAACAAAATAGGGGACAATTAATTTGGCCTAGAAGAAAGAACAGGGGAGATTAAGAAGCCAATATCCCAACCAGATCACCGTGAGGGTGGTGGAGGCCAGACAGAAGCAAAACCAAGAGCAGCATTGGGAGAAGAAGGCACCCCAGAGGGAGAGGCCTAAACCTCATGAATAAGACCAAGCGAATCACAAGGAGATGTGCACAGGAAGGCAGGAGACTACCTGGTGCCTTCAAATCCCAGGCCCTCCTCCTAACTGAAATGAAATAAAAGAAACCCAGATGGAGGGTGATGCTTACCACAATGGAGTAAGTATATCTGATAGGATCACTTCAGACAGCGTAATGAGAAATGCCGTCTGAACAAGAGTTCAGAATGGGCCCTGCCTCACCCCACAGCATCCAGATCCTGCTTTGCATCTCCATCCCCTCCACCTCCACAGGCCAGGTGTTGGTAGGAAGGTGAACCTCTCACCAAAACAGAGAAGGGATCATAAACTGTATCCCTCCCATGGGCCAAATTCTGCCAGACTCCTGTTATCTTATTTTTTCTTCATAACAATATCATGATTCAATGGTATCCTATCCTTGATAGGAGTGTTATTTGTCCTTTTTTCCTACCACTGAAAAAACTGAGGTTCAGGAACAGTCAATAACTTGCACWAGATTAAAGAACTCTATGTAGCAGAGAGAGGAGCCAAATCTTGGGGTATCTGATGTGAAAATTGTGCTTTCTGTCCACACCATGCCACCTCTCTGCTATTCCATTTCACCAAATGACATGCCTACAAGCCCTGACTCCCAGCCCTGACTGTGAGGTTAATTTCTTGGCAGCTCACAGCCCTGCTGGCTGCAGGAACCCCCTGCAAGCTGCAGCAACCTGCAGGAGCCCAGTGAGGCACCCAGACATCATCTTCCTCTCTGAGGTCAAGAGAACTTCATCAACCAAGTGCCACATAGGGAGCAAGTGGCCAAGGGGAGAGGAATCGGTCACACAGGACAACTACTAAATAAGGAGAGAGGCCACCCAGGAACTTGACCCAATTTGGTGTCCTCAAAAGATGGTGTTTCCTTGGCTGAGATTTTTTTTCTTACAAATATGGAAAAAACAGTTTGGGATTCATGCAGGGAAATTAAAAACTTAGTTCCTGAAGCCATTAGCTTGTGTGGCTCTGTGACAAGGCTGGTAAAAGAGACTGAATTTCTCCATTTCCGTTCTCTCTACCTGGCCCCTGGGAGACTTGTTCCCAAARGTGAAAGGGATGGAAAATGAGCTTACTGAGATCCAGGTCATGATTTCAGAAAATAACCACCAACCATGGTGAGCGAGCAATGGCAGGTGGGTGCCATGAGGCAGACAGAAGGGGCCCCAGGATGCCCGCACCTGCTGTCTGCTTGTCCTCTGCTGTTCTTCCCTGCATGGCTGATTCCCAGCTCCCACTGCAAAGAGGCAGCCCGTCTCACGCAGATGGTCCCCTGTGTCAACAGCAC